AAACATTGCGATTTGATTTCGTGCGCTGCGTTTTTTTGACGTAATTACCAATTTCGACGAGTACTACAGCAGGAAAACAAACGCATTACGACAATCGAGAAAAATTCAAGAAACGCACGAAAAACATACATTTTTTTTACCAACACAAGCGCACATTTATCACGACTTGTGGGTGGCGGACGGCTTCTTGGGACGCGTTCAAACCATCACTCAATTTAATATAATCACATACAGAGCGCTCAAAAAGTTGATAACAAAAAAAAATTCGAAAAAATTATTCTCTGAATTTAAAAAATATACAGGGTGCGCCAGAACTCGCGCCCCAGAGAAAAATGCCATATTAGGGACGATATCAGGAACATGGAAAAAATGTTAAAAAAATTTTATCTATAAAATAAAAGTTATGAGAGTTTAAATTTTGCACTTTGACTCTATTTATTTCTGTTGGAAAAATAATTTTTCAAGTTTTTTGCTACAGTCTATTAGAAGAGGAAACAAGGAAACAGTATCCTAAATTGTAACTCTGTTCAATGTTATTTGTGGCTTTTATTGGCAAAATTTTTGTACCATAACTAAATAATTGTAAAAAAAACATATACAAGATCATCAGTATCATTAAATAGACATGAAAAAATGTCAAATATCAAAAAATATATGTCAAAATTTTTTGACAGATAGAATTTTTTAAACATTGTTTTCATGTTCCTGATATCTTACTTAAAATTTTTCTCTGAGGCGCGAGTTTTGACGCACCCTGTATATTCAGCAAAAAAGATATAACAACACTGTGTATTAATATTAGCTGTGGTCTTGGTAACTCTGTATTATTCCCTAGGAGACGGTTACTGAGGTTTTAAAAATAATTACTTTTTATTGTTGCTCAAATTGCAATGCCGTTATTATTACTAGACAATGTTGCCACATTCCATTTATTTAGAATGTGTATAGAACGCTTCAAAATTATTGACATCTCGGTGGGCGTTGAGTATGTAAATCAGACTTTAATTTTAGTTTCAGTGTGAACATTCTTTAGCATGAGAAATGACATTTCAGTTGAATTCTGTCAAAAAAATAACATAATCTATTTGTCCAAAAGAAATATGGATCTGGGTTTTCTAATATATATTTCTTTTAACGCCTGTATATTTAATAATTTTGACAACAAATTTTTAGTCACGTGACCTTTCAAATGCGACTGCATAAGAGAGGTCCGCTAAATTATTTGTTTGTAAATATGAATTTTAACCTAATGACATGAATATAAAATTTAGAAATTTGTTATGCAAATTGCGCTCAGTTTTGCTTTCGTTGGTGGCATTTAAATAAAAAGAGAAATGTGTCATATGAGGCATTTAATAGTTATTTATGTATCAAGGGAATAAACAACTATTTTATTCCCTTCGGTCGTCTATGGCATTCAATTACAATTTTAAGAGTAAAAATCGGTATTTCATTTATTTTATTCCTGAGAGAATAAAGCGTCATTTTATTCCCCGTTACAAGAAAATTGCGGAACCGTGTAAGATAAATTGGAGAACCTTGCAAAATTTGTTGATATTTTCAAAGGAAGCAGCGTTCAAGGTATGTTCATGGTTACATTTCGCTCGATTTGAATATTATTAGAGAAGGAATAATTAAGTGCCACATGGAGGCTTAGTGATAAGTGATAACAGATAAGAATCTGTTTTTAGAGTAGGCTTCCTTGACCTGTAAATGGGGGGCCAAAAGATGCGTCTAGTGGATCGAGTGATTGAAAAAAAAAAATTCGATAAGAATCTCAGGAAGCTGCGAATAAGATCAGATTATCGAAACAATCGCATATCTACATGTTGTAACAATCAGCAAACGTTAATTGGGAACAAACGTGCCTAAAAACGACACTAATCGCGTGAAATTTCCGTCGGTTTTATAAAATCTAGTTAACACCTGTCATTTTTGACCATTATTATTATTACCCGTGTCATGTGACATCAATGTTTACACTATCAGATTTTTTCTCGACTTGTGTTAACCTTTAGAAGAGATGAAATCAAGCCACACGGAAATTACGAAAATGTTAGACACACTGAGTAATTTATTAGCGCCTACCTGAGTGGAGTGTAATTTTAGGTACTTTTGATTTATGCCCAGATTTTGTTGGCAGCTCCTGTGGCTACAAGTGATTCACCAGTCTAAGAATTAAGAGAAAAGAGGTGCTTTTTTATTTATTTCTTCTATCGGTAAAAAAGTGTCATAAAGTACCGTTATTTGCACCCTTTTGACTACCGGCCACCAGCTGGCGCCACATTACTTGAGGCGCTTGTTTCATGACCTACTTTCATCCCGATCTATGCACATTCCTGCACGTGTGAATCAGGTTTGTGACGTAACATGATGCTTCCAGGACCGCCTATAATACACACTGTTTTTTAAATAAATGTGAAACTACTTTTCTTCCATTACCATTTGGATTATAATATGTACGAGAATTGTAATAATAATTTTTTTACCAATTTTAATATAAATTTTTACTGAAAATTCTGACAATTTACTCATACACGAAACCCAAAAAAAAGTTATAACCGGTGTCGTGTGCAGGAGTCATAAAAACAACTCAGCGTGTGCATCAAAGGCGGGGCCCTAAACGTCATGTTACGTCATAAACCTGATTCACACGTGCGGGTATGTGCATAGTCAAAGTAGGTCATGAAACAAACGATAGTTTCGCACTCTAGCGCCCTCTACTCAGCGGTAGCCAAACCACATAACTGGAATAAATACTAATTTTTTTTAAAAAAGGTACCTCTTTATTTAGTTTGTCGAGAAGTTGTAAAGTTATTTTTCTCTTCTTGTAATCATTATCACTTTTTTTTCTTTTTTTGTTA